GCATTTTATTTTTGTACCAATTTTATTCACTTCATTCTTCATAATTTTAGCTTTTTTWCATCAAGTTTTTTCTTAAAATATTGATTTCTGCATTTTACCTCAAATTCTTTTTTTTTAATTTTTGTTTCTTGGATTTTTGTCCTGTTTTTGATTTTTAAACATCGTCATTAATATTTAACACAGAATCAAAGAGGTGAATTTTTACGACTTTTCCTCCCTTTCCATATTTACGAATATTTCAATTTTTTATTTCAGCCACTGAAATGCCTAATTTCACCCCCGGAATATTTAAACCGCTTATCTTTAATATTTGGCTAAACTCACGTTTTATTATTTTTTTAATAAAAATTATCCTGTTGATTAAATCCGAGTCCCTTATCATTTATCATTCAATCCATGTCTCTAATATCCAAAATGGGGCTTATCTCCTGCCTTATCATTAATCGCGCCCTAAACCCTCTTCTAAGAGACAACTTGTCGCTCAACGTGTGTGAATTACTCCCTTGAAATAATTACAAATCGATATAATATTTGAAATCCCTCTCCTGCGTCGATTAAATTATACTTTTAGATTCAGAGACGCACAAAAATCCTTCTTTTTCGTTGTGTTGGAGGAGCGCAAATGCACAATTTTGGAAATAAGACGTTTCGAAACCTAATCAAAATTCATAGGATCCCTCAATGAAATTGCTGATTTAATTAAGCATTTGGGGAGTACCTGACGCGTCATGAATGCATTATTTCAGATAATAGACGAATTAGGAGTGACGAGAACAGAGCTTATTAGCAAAAATTTTGAGTTTTTTCCTTTTTTACCAAGAATTTGTAAATATATTCAAAAAATTTTGCTGAAATTTGTTTTCGCGTGATTTAATGCCGCTACGCCGCTACGCTCTCGGGCAGTGTCTTTGTTTTGTCCAAAAATTGAAATTTGCAAAGTTTTATGCACTTTTGGACGATTAAAATGTGTCAATTTTGAAGTTTTCAGTTTTTTCGTTTTTGACAAAATTTTGGTCTATTGATAATAACTCTGGAATTATTGGTGGTAGCCTTTTGTGTTTGGCATTGTTCAAAAGCACATTTAATTTTCTACTATATACAAAAAAGATCAGTGTTGTAGGATAAATAGTTATCGACAAAATTTCTGATAAAGTCTAAAATATTGAAAATATAAATTTGACTATATAGGGTGCGCCAGAACTCGCGCCCCAGAGAAAGGTAAGATATGAGGAACATGGAAAAAATGTTAAAACAATTTCATCTAAAAAAATTTATGTCAAATTTTGTTGAGATCGAATTTTTCAAACATTTTTTCCATGTTTCTCGTATCTTATCTCACTTAAAATTTTAAATGTTGCAAAAAATTTTAAAATAAATTTTCTAACAAATTGAGTTCTTTGAACCTCTGAAACTTTTCAAAAATTTTACAATAGTTTCCAAAAATTGCATTAAGGGCAAATTTAACCTAAGAAAGGAAAAGTAATCAATAAATACGTTCTAAAACTTTTATCACATTTCGAAATTTTTTTTCAAAATTTTAAATATAAACGGCTTAAATATAAGAAAGAAAGTCTAGAATACGAAAAAGACAATTAAGAGACGTAAATATCATTTTTTTTAAATCTATCAAAAACTAAATGAAATAAGAAAACTTTGATTTTTTTGCTCGATTTTGTGAAACAAAAATTTTTGATTTTATTTAATTTCGATTATGTTTTTTTTGAAAAATTTAATAAAATATTTTAAGGCCTACTCGATGGATACTAAGTTTTTTTTTGTTTTTTTTGGCCACAACGGCTTAATATATCAAAAACTGATTTCAGATTCGTAAAACTGAGATCAAATAACATACATTTTGTTTTTAATACTTAAAAAATTTTTCGGTTTTTTTTGGTTAAAACCTGATATGTAAAATATTTGATGTCAAATTTTTTGCACCTCTAAAATTAAGTTTTTTTTCAATTTTTTCCAAAATTTTGTATTTTTTGATTGATCTTGAATTTGTAGTTCTAACGGCTGTAATATTTGATTCAATCAAATTTGTGTTATAAGATTTTAACAGCTTTAACTGTAAGTTTTATTAAAATGTAACAAAAACTTAAAAAATGCAATTTTTTAACTATTTGAAACTTTCCAAAAATTCTAGAATTATTTCCAAAAATCGCATTAAGTGCAAATTTTACCTAAGAAATAAAATGTAATCAGTAAATACTTCCTGAAATTTTTATCAGAAAATAATGAAATTTTTTTCAAAATTTTAAATTTAAAACTCTTAGGGTTAAAACAGTTCAATGAAAAAATTGTCTAGAATATGAAAAAGACAATCAAAGTACCTAAATATCAATTTTTTTTCTAAAAATCTATTAAAAATTAAATGAAATAAGTAAACTTTGATTTTTTTGCTCGATTTTGGAAAACCAAAATTTTTTAAAGCAATTGATATAAAAATTTTTGATTTTATTTAATTTCTATTAAGTTTTGTTTTTTGAAAAATTAAATAAAATATTTCAAGGCCTACTCAATGGATACGTCTCAACAAGTTTTTTTTGGGTTTATAACATAAATTTTGTAAATTTTTCTGACATTCTTAATAAAATTGATAAAACATATTTAGTATTTAATTAAAAAAAAAGTTTTGACTGTATTTATGACCACCGCAGCTCAATTTTAACACACAATAAAAATTTTAATTTTGAAAACAATTTGACTTTTATTTGCTTGATTTTGAAAAATAGAAATTTTAATAAACTTTAATAACACAAAACTTCAATTTTGTAAAATAACTAATAAATGTGTGATAAAGTTTTTTTTATAGTTTAGTAAAATATAGACCAACTTGATTTATTTTGCATGCTTAATCCTCAAAAAAAATACTTTTTTTGGTCAAAACGGCCCAAATACTTGACGTATTAATAATGTGGTGTCAAATATGTAAAACTGAGGTCAAATTACATAACACTGTATTATTTGGACAATAATTTTCAAAAAAAATCTAAAAAATTTCTAGTAATCGTATTGTGTTCAAATTTTGGCTATTAACCACTCAAGGATCAATCCACCGAAAAATAAATAAAACACAATTTTATATTTTTTCCAAACTCGCTTTTTGCATTTTATTAATGTTTTACACTCGGCTTTTAATTGAAAGCGCTAAAGGCCTGTCATGCACGATTTTCCCAAAAATCCTCATTCAACAATAATATTTCAGGTGATTTTTTCAGGCATGGACGGCGGCGGCGCCTGAAATTCGCTGAAATCTGGCTTCCACAATATTCAGGTAGTGTATTTTTCCAAATTATTGATTGAACTTTTATGAAAATTTCGTTTCATTTTTATTGCGTTAAACTGAAATATCCGCAAATCTGTCTGAATATCACCCAGCCTCCTTTATATATCTCATTACTTATTCACGAAAGATTTTTCTATCCGCAGTTATTGAAATATTCAGGATGCGAGTTTCCTTGCCCTCGCTCTCCGTTTACTTATTTATGAATCGGAATTTTAAGTAATATTTCTTACGTTTTTTTTCCATACCGAATTCTTCTCCCACCGACTGAACAAAGTCAATATTTAAACAACCGCAAACGAATAACTTCTTGTACAAAGAGGATTCTTATTCCAGAGACAATATTTAAATATTTCATTTGCATACACGCATTTCCTGTTCAATTCCCAGGAATTGATTATTTAGGGGTGGCTTTGAAATTTATTTGCCAAGGGGTTAAATGCCATACTATTTATTACATTCGTATGTTTCTAGTACTGAGTGAAGCTAATCTTCTACACTATTTCACCGAAATTGCGACATTTCGTACTATTAATTATCAAAATCGTGCAATAACTGGACCGAAATAACGAATTGCCACTATTTGTTATCGTTCTTTCATTTATCAAAGTTGCCACGATTGGGATCTAATTGAAAAATTTGAAAAAATCGAGTTGGGAACGAAATATACTGAGCGACAGTGAAAGTGTCACTATTTGAACAAGTCATCACTTTTTTCTGATTAATTTGGAACAGATTTTTACTTTAAAATTTTCAGTAACATTATTTAAAAATGTTTTATGTTGATATACTACCACGTTCCATGCCAGTGTCTCGGCTTTAATCCAATCTAGTTTTTTTTAATTTATTTTTTGAGTTTTTGCGACATTATATACAATTTTGAACTCGTAGAAATGCATGTGGATTAAATTTTTTTGACAAAATTTTGGTCGATTTTCGGTACCCGGAGTGGTTTATTTTAACTATTAATGTTAGTCTCTTATGTTTAGGATTGTTGAAACGAAAAATTTGCTAAAACTTTGTCAAAATCGAATATTTCTAGCCTTATTTTTAACTTTATTACACAATATCTCAAAAACTATGCATCGTAGAGTATTCTAACTAGTTGAATCGTGTTCAGCGAGTAATTTTACGTCTACAAAACCATATTTCAAGCGTTTTTAGGACTTTTAGTAAATTGACTATTTTTACGATTTTACTACTAATTTTTTGAAAAACTCAAAAAAATCCTTTTTTTTTAAACTCGACTCAATAATGTTTTATGCATTTTTTTGAGTGTATAAGACATCTAGAAATGCAAAAAACGTTAAATGGAAGGATTTTAAAGTAAATTTTTTTTTTGATTTTCGTCGAAATTTTGGTCCATTTTTGGCACCCGGAGCGGTCTATTGCCAATAACTCCGGCCTTTTTGGTAATAACCTCTTATGATTAGTACCGTTGGAAAGCAAATTTAATTTTCTATCATATAAAAGAAAATCAGTGTTCTACGATAAATAGTTATCGAGAAAATTTGTGATAAAGTCAAAAGTATGGAAAATTTAAATCCGACTATAACTTCAAAACTATTAGGAATTTTGCAGTTTTTTTGACGTCAATCGATTCCCCGGAACATTTTACATAGGTTTAGGTCAAAGTATTATATCATTGAGGCTCAGTTTTGCCGCAATTTACAAAACAAAAAAAACTAAAAATTTGTTAACACCCCCCCCTTAAAATCTAGTGTTTTTGAACATGTCTCAGATTCGATTTAAACCTATCTTATCCGATAGATTTTGACGCGCTAATTACGAATTTACCAACCACATTGGGCTATCTCCTTTAGTTTCGCCGTAATCGGCGTTTAAAAATTCAAATTTTTTTTGCGAGATATCGACTTGGCTTTGGCCTCAGTCGATAGATTTTCTTACGCTGATTACGATGGAGTTTGACTGATTGCTCTAAGTCTAATAGTTTGGCCGTAATCGCCGTTCAAAAAGTGAAAATTGTAAAAATTGTGAAARTTTAAACGCGTTTTTCTACGAAACTATAAGATTTAGAGCAAAGAGCTAAAAAKCATTAAAAGTAGCTTGAAATTATCTATTTATTGGCGCAAACCGGAAGTCGCTCCGGGTTATGGCTCCGGGTACAGAGCCATTTTTAGTTTTTTCAAAAAAAAATTCATATCTCAAAAACTATGAGTCTTAGGTCAACAGGGTTTGTACAGGCGTGTTCTCCGGTTAATTTTACATATAGTACTAGTTTTTCATAAGAATTAAAAATTTTTGATTTTTTTGTTAAAATCGGATATTTCTACCCTTATTTTTGACTTCATTACTCAATATCTCAAAAACTATGCATCGTAGAGTATTTTAACTAGTTGCATCGTGTTCAGTGCGTAATTTTACGTCTAGAAAACCATATTTCAAGCGTTTTTACAACTTTTAGGAAATTGACTATTTTTACGATTTTACTACTAATTTTTTGAAAAACTCAAAAAATTCGTTTTTTTTTAAACTCGACCCAATAACGTTTTATGCATTTTTTTGAGTGTTTAAGACTTCTATAAATGTAAAAAACGTTATATGGATGAAAGTTGAAAATTTTTACGAGATTTTGTTCGATTTTCACTTTTTTTCTATCTTCGCCATTATAATATTTAAATCTCGTCACGAATTTACTCAAATTTAGCTGAATTCCCTGCAAAACATCCCATTTCCTGTCATTTTTGTCCCAACCGCGTGATGAATTATGCAGTTGAAAATGTTGGATAGCTGCGGTCGCAGGAACACGAACTCCAACAGTGGGATTTGGCAGGTGCAGGATTGCAGGAGATTTCGTTCGACCCCTGATTAATGTTGCATCTGTCCAAATGCAGCAATTTTAAGTAATCGAAATGACCCAAACATGTGCCAAGATTAAAGCAAAACAAACAGAAATTTCTATTTGCGAGTTAACTGAAAAATCAAATCTGGCCATGATTGTTACAATTACTCGCAAATGTAAATACGAGCCGGACTGTTTATTGACTTTCGAGCTAAAACCGATTGAGTTTTTTTTTTCACAAAAATATACACAGCAAGTGTATCGATTTGTGTCAAATCGGGACGGGGAAATAATTAAAATTTTCGCGTTTTTTTGGCGATTTTAACACAATAAACAATGAGTTATTGTTTCCGGCTTGTTAAAATTGACTTTTTCGGTGTGATACAGGCCCTCAAAACGATCGTTTAGCTCCAACTTTCCAGACGTCGAAGTTTTTTAATAACACGACTTTTCCAATAAATATTTTTTTGATAGTTTTCCAATCTTGTAATAACTCACAACTTGTAATATCCTCATATTTTCTCCTACTCGAACTTTAATTGGACCATTTAACAAAAAGAAAGCTAAATTAAATAGGCAATAAATACCTATCAGGCAATAAACAACTTTATAATCCTAGAGCTTTATTGTTCATAAAAGCTCCCGTTTTTATGTCAATGTTTATTTAGTCGATTTGGACGAAAATAGATTAAATTTTGAGGATGTGTGCGGTTTGGCACACTCACAATCATTTTAGTGGCGAAATAATCAACTTTTTTTGAGCTAAACCACAAAAAACAAGAAAAGTATTAAAAAATTGCCAGTTTTATACGAAATTTGTAAAAAAGTATCAAAAGCAATGAATGTGAACAAAAATTGAGAAAGTGCACAAAAATAATAAAAAAAAACAAAAAATAGAAACACAATATTTTGAGTGACAATACAATAAAACAAACAAAAAAAAATTTTTGAAGTGAAATATTCGGACATTGCCTTCCCATACGAATTTTTCGTTTCAAAATTTTATGTTTTGTTAAGAAATTAATTTGAATCAAAAATTTTAAAATATTCTGACAAGAAAAGTCATTTGATTTAATTTTAACATCTGTGTTAATGGTTTTGATTTAAATTTTGAAATTTTTATTTATTTTTTAAAAGAAAAACATCTAGTTACTGGAAATGTGACTAAAACATGTCTTTTATTGTTAACAATGATGACTAATAGTAAAAATTACTCAAAAATATGATTTTCTTCACGTAGCTACTAAAACCACCCGATTTGAGTTCATGTGAAATATCTTGGTTTGGCGTTTTTGGGCGTTCTGATACTTTTATGTTACTAATTTGGGCCTTCTGATTTTAAATATAGCTTCAGTTTAACAATTTGAGTCTTAATTTTGCCTAAAAATTGATTTTGAGTAAGTGGCCACATTTTGGTCAATATCTCGAAAACTATTCATCGTAGAGAAAATTTGTTAACAGATTTGGAATTCTTGAAAATTTTTGCATTAGCAATCTTTATTTTGGTTTAATTTGTCTCACTAGCAGTTTTATTTTGACCAATTTTCTTAATAAATCAAGCAATTTTTACGTACTTTTGAGGGACAATAGAAAAAAAAACAAAAAAAATCACACAAATCAAAGACCTAAAATGACTAGTTACAAATAATTTAATGTTTTTTGTTTCCAAGAAATTTTTGTGTTATCTTGAAATAAAAATAATAAAATTTAAGAAAACAATTTTTCTGAAGTGAAATATTGAGACATTGCCCACCCATACGAATTCTTGGTTTTAAAATTTTGTGTTTTTATAACAAATTTAGTTGCGACAGGCGAAACTCGTCCTAGAATCAAGAGTTTTGAGAAATTCTGTATAAGAAGGAACATTGTTGATTTAATTTTAACACCGGTGCTAATAATTTTGGTTTAAAATTTGAAATTTTTGTTATTTGCCAAAAGAAAAATATTTAGTTACTGGAAATGTGTGTAAAACAGTTTTTTTATTGTCAAAAAACTAGTTAAAAACATGATTTTCTTCAAGTTGCCACTAAAACCACCCGATTTGAGTTCATGTGAAATATCTCGGTTTGGCGTTTTTGGGCTCTCTGATACTTTTATTTTACTAATTTGGCTCTTCTGATTCTAAACGTAGCCTTGGTTTAACGATTTCAGTTTTAATTTCGCTTAAAAACTGATTTTTGTTGATTCTGAGCAAGTAGCCACATTTTGGTCAATATCTCGGGAACTATTTATCGTAGAGAAAATTTGTTAACAGATTTGGAATCCTTGAAGATGTTTGCATTAGCAACCTTTATTTTGGTTAAATTTGTCCCACTAGTAGTTTCAGTTTTGACCAAGTTTCCTAATAAATCAAGCAATTTTTACGTACTTTTGAGGGACAATAGAAAAAAAAAACAAAAAAAAAACACACAAAGACCTAAAATGGGTAGTTACAAATATATTAATGTTTTTTTGCTTTCAAGAATTTTTGTTTTATCTGGAATTAAAAAAAGTGAAATTTCAGGAAATAATTTTTTTGTAGTGAAATATTGAGACATTGCTCCCATACTAATTTTGCGTTTCAAAATTTTGTATTTTGATGACAAATTCAGTAGCGACAGGCGAAACTCGTTCAAAAATCAAAAGTTTAAAAAAAATTGTATAGGAAAGGATATTTTTGATTTAATTTTAACACTGGTGTTAAAAAACACGATTTTCTTTAAGTTGCCACTAAAACTACCAGATTTAAGTCCATGTGAAATTTCTTAGTTTAGCGTTTTTGGGCGGTCTGATACTTTTATTTTACTAATTTGACTCTCCTCATTCTAAATAAACCGATTTGAGCCCTAATTTTGCCTAAAAACTAATTTTTGTAGATTCTGATCAAGTGGCCACATTTTGGTCAATATCTCGGGTACTAGAGAGAATTTGTTAACAGATTCGGAATCCTTGAAGATTTCTGCATTAGCAACCCCATTTTGGTTTAATTTGCCACTTTAGTGGTCCGAATTTCGGTCAAGTTTCCTAATAAATTAAGTGAAATATCGAGTCATTGCCCTTCCATACGAATTTTTCGCATCGAAATTTTTGTTGTGATAACAAATTCAGTTGCGACAGCGAAACTCGCCCCAAGTTTCTTCATAAAGCCTCTCTGACGTTATTAAAGAGCCTTGGGTGAGTGAGGAATTCCTTTTATACGCAATTAACTATTAGTGAGGGTTGAAATAAGTCAGTGTCTCGACATGGACATTACAAGGAGTTCAAGGAGAGACATCAGTGTCATATCTTAAATTCCAGACATCGCGTCTGTCTAGCGAAGCGAGAAATGCACCCCTTTGAAATTCAACTAACCACATTAAACGCGAATACAATGTCCTAATGATGGTTCATACGAGACTGGACGTGACAAATATTTAACCAGTGGTGGAGAGTAGTCTCATATTTGCACACAATGAACACATTTCAGCCCAAATCTCTAATTTTTAGAATTAATCAAATGCGAGGAACTCCTCTACCTCTCTAGCAAAAGTTTTACGAACTAAAACAATGTTTATCTTCAGTTTTCCAGTCTCGAAACGTAAAATACCTGCCAGTTGTTTACAATTACCTAAAAACAACAGTCAGTGTGTTTATTCATTAAACTCTCTAGTTTTAGATAAAACTTACACGAATTTAATTAATATTTTGTTTTGTTTTAGACGAACGCCGAGGCTGAAACCACATATGACCGATGATCTTATCAGTGGAACTCCTAGCAGGTGATTTATACATTATTTTTTCTCTTTTAAGTAACTAAAGCTCAATCAAGGCAAAAGTAATCGGGCGTGAAATCGCACAAATGTGACCGACTTGAATTTCAATCGATTTGAAATTGGCGCGCGGAGGAGTGGTGGGGGAAAGTGACACATTACCTACTTATTTCAACTATTTTTAAGAAAGTTAGCTAAAATTTGGTAACTATTATACACAAACTTGAAAATTACTCAGTTTTAACTATTGTTTGTCAAGTATTTCAAATTTGAAACGTCGAGAATAGCTAAAACACATACAAGTAGCTAGTTTTGAATAGTTAAAGTAGGCAAAGTAAAAGCATAATTTGAAGAGGTGGGGTTAAGTGGTCTCTTTTCTACTCTTTTTGTGGTGGGGATCAAGTGACACTTTTCCTACTCGTGTTGGGTAACTGCAAAATAGCCAATTTTCAGGCCCGTATTGTGTATTTTACGACCCGTCACTGTTACAAATCACCAACAAAGTCTCCTACTCTCTTTGTGGTGGGGGCAAATGTCGCTTTTCCTACTCGTATTGTGTTAATATCTCGTTTTCAGGCCCGTATCGGTGTATTTTAACCTTTAAATTTTGACACGACCTTAATCTTGCTAAAATACACTTGCAAAGCCTCCCCACTTCTTTGTGGTGGGGGTCAAGTGTCACTCTTCCTACTCGTCTTCTGTTAATCTTTTGTAACCGCGAGATTGCTAGGTTTCAGGCCCGTATTGTATATTTTACGACCCGTCTGTTGTTCAAATTGTTGACACGACCTCTACTCTCTTTGTGGTGGGGGTTAAGTGTTACTTTCCCTACTTGTGTCGTGTTAATCGCCCCTTTTCAGGCCCGTATCGGTGTATTTTGTCCCGTCAGTGTTTTCAATTTTTGGCACAACGCGAATCTTTTTAAAAATCACTTTTTAAGTCTCCCACTTTTTTTGTGGTGGGGGTAAAATATCACGTTTCCTGCTCGTCTTGTGTTAATCTTTTGCAACCGCGAGATCGCTAGTTTTCAGGCCCGTATCGTATATTTTACGACCCGTCAGTGTTTCAAATTGTTTACACGACCTCCACTCTTTTTGTGGTGGGGGAGAAGTGTCACTCTTCCTACTTGTGTGCGAAAATGCTTGTTTTCAGGCCTATATCGTGTATTTTACGACCCGTCAATGTCTCAAATTATTGACACGACGTTAATTTTGTTAAAAATCACCTCTACTTTTTTATGGTGGGGGTGAAGTGTCACTTTTCCTACTCCTGTCGCCCGCTTTTAGGCCCGAATTGATGTATTTTGCCCCAGTTTGTGTTTCAAATCCTTGACATGACGTTAATCTCGTTAAGAAACACCTGCAAAGCCTCCGCGATGTAAATTATTAGTTATTTGCCAAAATAAAAATATTTAGTTACTGGAAATGTGACTAAGACTTTTTATTATTACCAATAATGACTTTTAGTAAAAATTGGTTAAAATCACGATTTTCTTCAATTTGCCACTAAAATTACCCGATTTGAGGCCATGTGAATGGATTTTGTTTGGAGGAAAAATTTAGCGTTTGTGGATTTTTTGACTCTAAATATAGCTTTAATTAGGTTATCTATACTTTACTTTGGTCTATAACAACTATTAAAATTTTTAAAATTTTTAAATTAGTCACTTTTTAGACATATGTATTTTTATCGTATAAGAATTTTATTAACAGAATCGAAAGTTTTGGAAAATTTTGTATA